CACATGTTTGGGTTGAAACGTCGGCACAAATAAGAAATTTTTATAATGACTGCGTCCTAAAGATTTATCACCCATGATATGTAGAACAGTCGACTATCTTCCTTCAATAATTCTATAGGTCTTATAATTATATATTTCAGAAATATAAAAATATTTTTATTTTTCTGATAAAATAACAAATAATATTATTTGAATATTTAATTTTATGCTAATATTATTTTATTTTAATTTGTTTTTCATTAATAAATCAAATAAATTTAATTATTTATTCCACAATGGTTGGATTCCTATTCGTAGGATTTGTTTTTTGTTAGTTGCTTTTCAGCATTGTGAAAAGAAGTCAAAGTGAGCCTGGTAAATTAGTATTTCCACAACACACACACACAATCATAACTATAACTTTTTTTAAATAAAAATATGTCACTATTTAAAATTTGATTTATTTATTATCAATAGTACCGACTGATAGAATGATAGAATGATAGAAAAACTGTACCATCTGATCGGACCAAATTGTTATTATTGTTTAAATAAACTCTAAGCACTATATATATGTGTTCTATTTTTTATTTCAATCAATGCTAACATTGTATTTAATGTCTTTATACCACAACCCTTACATTCCATCTAAGGTGAGGGTCTATCACTATCTATCTTGACAATGTCTTTAAAGTATGTATATTCAAGTAAATTTGGTTGAACTTTGCTATGTCTAGGTCAAAAGATAGGCTCCAATGTATCTATTCTTTTTTATTGATCTAAGACATATATTAACATGTTTAATATATAGTAATAGGCTAATAGATAATTGCAAGATCTGCAAGACTTGCGAGACTCTTACTGCAAGAGCAAGACCAAGACCAACGCTGAGTGTGCAAGACCAAGACCAAGACCAGGTGTGAACACTGCAAGAGCAAGACCAAGACTAGCCAACTCTTGCGTTGGTCTTGCATTTGGGCAACACTACCTGCAGGCCTGTGCCACATCATTCACTACTCATAATTGGCATAGTTATGGTGATATAATAACGTTTTTGGTACGTTATATTTTATTAACTAACAAATATCAATGCAATAAGTTAATTGTAAAAATAAAAAATTAAACCATTTTTTATTGATTTTTTAAAATATTACTTCCTTTATTCTAGACTGTGATCGTTTAACAATACTTCGATTATAAAAATGATATAATTATAATAATAAAACTTAATTCAAAAATACTTTGCTGAATATCTTGAATTTTTTATATACAATTTGTTTTGTACACTTACTGATTCTTAGACTTATCTATAACCTGCCCTAAAGTGAAGATATTCCCAATGTGCAACATCTGTTCCAATGTGAAACTTGAGTTTCTCAATCCATATCGCTCTAGCAATCGACAATATTTCTTATTCTAGCTTCTACGATTCTTTATAATAAAACTTCTACTTGTATAATAAAACTCATATATCACTAATAAAAAAAATTAATTTCATTTTTTTTATTTCCTTTATTTTGTTCGGAGATTGGGCCATATCATAAAAAAATAGCAAATTTTAATATTGAATACTTTATTCTCTCTATACAAAGAAAGATTGAAAGGGTGAAGCTGTATGTTCTTCTTGGTAATCGGAACTAATTGTTAGTATTTGGTATCAAAATGAAGGAAAACGCAAAAATGAACCCAAAAATTGGACAGGAAGGAATTGCCAAAGTCTCGGGAAAGAAAACAAGGATCAGTATACATTATATGGCTAAACGAATATATAGCAGACAGATGAACAGAATATTTCAAGAAGCTGCTGAAAAGGGGTCACATGCTGGTGCAGTTTGAATGATATTAAGGAGACGATGGAGGTTTATTATGGTAAAGACCATTTTATCGGCAAGAAAGACTATTTTGAAGCAATTGGCAAGTCATTAGGTTTGGACAAAGTATCCCGAAATGCTGCGCGTACATAGACAACAAATGTGAAAACATATTTCTCCAATTTTTCAATGTATCTTGATTAATATGCCATTAGAAAATGATAGAATGCACGGTATGTCTGGCCCACAGACTACAACTTCCCTTGGCAGAAATAAGTATTTTCAGACAAAGAAAGTGAAAGTAAAAATTACAGGCGGTACAAAATATTCAAAACAATTAATTACCATATGTTTTTTATAGCCGTTTAAAGTATTATATTTATTTATTTTTTCACTATTCTTTTTTACGACTGCATATTTTAATAATTTATTTCATTATAATAAATAATTGCCACGAAATATTATTAGTCTGACAAGAGTGCTACTGATAAAGAAGGCCGCTATATTAATTATCATATTAAGCATTGGTATTTACAAATTTTTATTTTTATATCGCTGTAAACTATATAATTAAATATTAAATAACGCTAAAATTTATTTAAACGGCAATTGTATATTTATATAATATTATTGGAGCACGTATTTTATCAAGTGCGTATTACATATAGAGCTTATTCATTCAAACTTTTCAGCCAAGGTCATGCACACGCCGGTTTCTAAGGTTCTCTATTACGATCCCTTATTTTTCCTCTAGTTAAGTATCAAATTCTATCATATTTTTTACTTGACCATTTTATATATTAGGTTACAGTGTGAAATGGTCAATTACTTAAAATTAAAAAAAAAAAAAAAGATACTTTAAAGGAAGAAATTTTGAAAAACTAGTCATTTAAGCCCCATCAGAGAACACCAATGGGAGTAAAATCAGCAATATATTAAAAATCGCTTTGTTTTACATTGATATAATAGATTTATTCAAAATCATCGAGCCGTTTTCCAGAAAATTGTAAAAATGTTTAAAATCGATGATATAAGTGGTATTTCTGGTTAGCCTATTTTGATGAAAACAATGCTGTCATATCCCAGACATATAATAACCTTATATAAGCAATTTCAGTTTCCTATGATTTTTCGTTTTTGAGACTGTTCACATACATACACACACAGACAGACCAATCCTGAGGTTAAATAATGGAAATGCCTGTTATTTTTCAATTATAAATTAATTAGCACTTACCTTCGGGCCCTAAAACTTAAAAATCCGAATTTACAAAACTATTATGCTTCACATGGTACTTTGTAAATGCAAATCATGGCCACTTACATTAAACACGTTAGGATTTTCAAAAATAAAATACTATCCAAAATATTTAGAATGGATGAATCAACTGGAGAATATAGATGGCCACATAATGCCATAACTATGTCCAGTAAATGTAAATTGTTATGTTTAGTAGCGGGAGAATCCCTAAAAACATTAATAAGCTGTGCTACACGGTAAGTGTCCCAGACATAAATTAAAATAATGGTGAGAGGATTCCTTTAAGGCTGATCTTGCAAAGTTGGGTTGGGAAGAGAGTCGATTATAGAAATATGTTGACAGTGCTAAGTGATACTGGAATGGAACCTTCGGGTTTGCTAATCATTCTATCCTCCACTAATACATTCCATACCAGTTATGGAAACAAGAATATATAAAGTTAAAATCTAGTAGTAAGCAGTTATACAAGTAAATATTATTGATGACATATTAGATAGCTATCTATAGAGAGAGGTCTTGATGGAAGACCACGACAGGTCAGATAAGTTGAGTACAAGCCTTTTTTTTATGGCTCTATATAGCTAGATCGAAAGCTACTTTGATGGTTTTCTATGGAAAGCAAACAAATATCAAGATTGTAACTTTTGTTTTAAGACAGCATATGACAGGTTAATATTGTAAAGATCTTCTAAAGCATCATTACAACAATGAAAAAAATATTTCCTCAAATGAAAACTAAATGTATTTAAAAAAAAAAGAAAAGTTTTTTGAAAAACAGTCTAAAATTCCAACGAGCTGATAACAGTTTACATTTGTTATTTTATTTATAAATAAAAAATTTGGTGTGAGTTACATCATACAATGTTTCATGATCAGGACCCCGCATGATTACAATGTTATTTTCGTGTCGATTCAAATGACTAAAGTTTTTCTCAAATTTCAGCAGCCTGAATCACTTGTAGTTTCAGAATCGATCGTATATATTGCATAGCTGCTACAAATTTAGTTGATGGAGTATAATAGTTTATAAATAATAAATGTCGAGGCTTATATTAACAAAGGATATTTAATCATTTTATTTAAAAATTAGTTAGTTCTACATTTCAAAATTTACTTCATAAAATACGAGTTACCATCTTAAATCTATTGTCAATATTCATCAGATTACCATCTAATAAGTTAATTTACAAAAATACATGAAAATTTAACGTTACATAACATAATAGAAATGTATAGTAACTCATTTATTTTTACCAAAAATGTACAAAAAATGGAGCCTAATGGGGATATTATTCTTTTTAATCTAAAAATATGCAGTTCCTTTTAAAATAAATAATGACTTCATAACATAAATACCATAAAAGTTACAAAGTGATTTTATTTTTGACTAGAACTAATCTGTTTTTATGACTTCTATCACTTAACTAATTTTCTCTTTAATCACAAGCTTAAAATATTTGGTAAGATATTACAAAACACTTAAAAAGCAAGGAGGTAAAATAAATACAACAAAAAAATAATAATGTTGATCACATGATTTATTATGGTGAATTAACTTATAACTAAGCTGTCTAAAGTTGTATTTTTTGATTAACATAAGTAACTGGCCTTTAAAAACATTAAAAAAAATTAAATAAATAAATACAAATAAAAAAAAGGAAAAGGGAAAAAAAGAAATCTTAAATATAAAACACTGTACCCCATATTAATCAAATTTACATGTACAACAAACACTAAACATTTATTATTGAAAAGGACAACTCTTATTTTTAAAATACTGCCAAGTCATTCCAAATAAGATAAACATTTAAAAATAAATTAATACTTTCCCTAAAATTGTACTCTTGATGACTTAAGAAGTTTCTAGGAACACTTTATATACAATTAACAATATAATAAATAAAGTTTTAAAATTTAAAAAAAAAAAAAAAAAAAACTTCAGTTATGATGCTTATAAAAATATGACAGGAGAAATATACAGCAAAATGATATTTAAGGTTTAGTTATTTACCTTTTAAAATAATTTTGAACGATAATCAATCAAAATAAATTATAATCTTGTTCTCGATTTTTTTAGCTTATTTACAAACGAATTTCGATAATAATACATCCTTACAGGTTACTAAATATAGGTAAGATGGACAGAAGTAATAATTTTAACCATTATATATGTGGTTAATGTATTATATACAGACATACAAAACTTAAATTGCACATTTTCATTGTTTTATTCTGTCTTTCATCAACAAGGATTATCACAATTAATTAGGGACAAAATTATATTGACAATGATACACCTATGAAGTTAAATATGTATACAAAATTTTCAAGTTAATACTAACAGAAACCATCGAAAATATCACGTATATAACCATTTATAATAACATTGAGATTCCTTTTGAACCCTAAGCTATATTACACCTATTACGACTTAAAAACAAATCATCACAAAAATAAGATATATTTATAACTGAATTTTATACAGGTGTATAATTTCCTCGAGGAGTGTAAAATAATTGTCCTTTCAATAACCTTCTACGGAGTTCTGCAAGCAGAAGCCGTTTTTCTTTTTGTATTTTCTGTAAGATTCCTTTATTTTCATGGGCTCTTCTTGAAAGATATGGCAATACTTCATTGACAGGCCCATAAGGTATGTATTTGTATGCAGAATAGCCTGCTTGTCCTAATAAAAAAAAAAAGTAAGATATATTTAAACCCCAATAGAATAAATGAGGGGGAAAATTATTATAGTCACAGATTTTTAGTAACTTAATAGGTTTTAAAAATTTTTATATATATAATTTTTTCGAATTCACATGATTTCCCTATACTGTATGTTTTCACTATTACCTCAGTACGTCAAATATTTCAAAATAAAATAAAAATGTTGATAAGACAAATTTTCTGTTTTGAGCCATAGAAAGCTTCAAAAAGTCTAGAAAGTTTAGATTCCACCATCACTAAGCTCTTAGTTAAAAAATTAATGAATTAAATTACATTAATTAAAAGTTTACAGATGTCTACTTGACTAAACTCCCATTTGAAGGGCTCCCCCCCCCCTCTCTTATTCTTTCATCAGTCCTTCACCTGACTACACATTCATGTTATGTTTTTTCTTCTGTAAATGTGTCTTACAATTGTAAGACATTGACTATGGAGGAGAAATGGGAGGTTATCAAGGAAAAAGAAAATTCCTCATGTAAATATGGGGAAAAAATAGACAATGCCAAGGAATTCAGCATACTAACCAATATCTTATCAACTTTGATAAATCAGGATAAGTATAATGAAGTGAGTTATGATTTATGATGATAAAAACAAATTCTGGTTACAAATATTCATTAAGCAGCATAAAATTTGTTCATTATATAAAAATCAAGGAATATATTGTAAAAGCTAATAATTGAATTATAGATGCCATAAGTAAAATTTACCACAAGTTATTGAAGCTTAAGTACAAATTAAGTAAGTTAATTTACAAAATATTAAGACTTTAGAATTTAGAGTAAGAATTCTAAACTTAAATGATGGAACTAATCTGTAACATAACTTACCAAGTGGAAATGTTATATAATCACACATTCCAAGCAATTGGCCAAAACAGATTACTTTATCCTCTGGAGCAATTCCTAATTCATTCATCCTAAAACAATAAAAATATCCTCATTTACTTTTACATATTAATTAACAAGCAATATGGTGAATATGAAAATAATAACAAACTTATAAATGTTTTAAACTTTTTTCTTTTGTAAAATAGTTCAATGGAAATGCAAATCAAACCTTTACAACCTTAAAATAGAGAACACTTACAGATATATTATCATCAATTTAATCAAATATTTGAGTAAAGAAGTGTTTCTATCTTAAAATTGACTTGGTAAAATGATTTAAATGTAATGTATATTAATATTCAAATTATGCAATAGGTATGAAAGTATATAATTTGTAACAATCAAAATTTTATAAGTGTTTAAAAAACACTTTTAATTGCATATAAAACAAAAAATCTAAATTAATGATCAAAGTGAAGAACATACTTTTCTATAGCAAATCGAACAGTATCTTCATTGTGAGATGCAACCATAATTCCAATACGGTTGGCCTGTCCTTTATTTTTGAAGTCTTTAATTCTTCTTAAGCATTCAGTAAGAGTTTGATGGTACATTTCAGAAGTAGCTTCATAATTTGGATTTATGGGATCAGTGTAACCTAATGCTGCGGCTCTTGCTCGTTCCTGAAAAATAAATAAATATATAAGCATCTGAAATTAATATTAATAACCCAATAATTATGAACAAGTGTAAACATGTTCTAGAAGCGATAATTTTAATAATAAGTTATAAACTATAATTAAGAAAAACTACAGATAATTTAAAAACAATATCTAATAACATGGAAGAAATGAAGATGTAGACGGCTTCAGCCACTCTTATCTGATTTCTTCAGGAGCAACAAAAATGCATGAGTTCAAAAAACATTAATATTTAAAGAATATTTTAATAAACCTCTGAAAAAGATTTCAATAGACATTCCTGATAAATAATTGAATTAACCAAATTGAGAACTGCAAACATTGACATATAATCACCAATTGATAAGGATATTGCCGAGGCAATCGTTAGTCATAAAAATGAACAAGCTTTGAAGGTCCCCAAATATAATCTGGGGGAGCGGGAGAGGAATCTTTTTTGGAATAATGTAAAAAATACAATATATAAAATTTGAAAAAAAAAAAAAAAAAAAACCTAATTTAATATCAAAATTAATGGCTAAACAAAACAAGCCTATTGCAACCTATATATAGAATTTCCTGACTTATATAAGTTTTCCAGATCAGTTTTGGAAAATTCTAGATCATCAATATTGCTGTAATAGGACATGAGAGATATATATTGGCATAGAAAACCCCCGGACCATCTGCTTCCTTTAAAATGCAATGGTCAACTATTAAATATTCCATAGAAAAAAATATATTTAAAAATACTGCCATTGCCTTTATTGCCACGGAAACTGTTTCATTATAAATAGTTATAAGTAGACAGGATTTTTATTTTATTGCACATGTTGTTTACTGAGGTGTAAAATCTTCAAACGCGACAAACTATCCATTTCACAATCTGTGGAATAACATACTGAAATTTCATTTTGCATGAAATTGTACTTTTTGGGCTTAATTGCACGTGTTTGGTTTTGGTTGTATGATATTGCATATTTTACAATTTAAAGGCTAAATTTCAATTTTTACAGTATAAAGTAAAATATTGAAACAAATTTTCTTTATAACATGTTCACAGCTATGTATATAAATATTTTTTTTACATTTATTATATATTATATTAGGTTTGTATTTGAGAACAGGGGTGTCCAACCCATGGAAGGCATAAGACCGGAAATAGTTTTAAAATTATTTTATTTAAAATAACATTTTCAAGTTATTTTTCTGGGATTTTAAGGAGGGGGCCTATGGATTTTAATAAAAGCTAAGGAGCTTAACTCAAAATCTACTGTTTTAAAAATTTAGATTGATCTACAGCTGTAAAATCAAGCCTCAATTCAAAATGCATCGTTTTTAAAAATATATAATTAATTTTTTGTTATTCGCTTTTCTTTCATACAGATTTAAGTTAATCGTCGTTCATTTTAAATTAGAATTTGATTTTTTTCATGTTACTACACGTTATACCTAGTTTCATTTTAGAGGCTATAACTCTTAACATAAGAGTAAACAACCATTAATATTATCAATTAAACAACTATGATTTTTGCATGTTATGTATACAATTTTACACTTTTTGGGTTTTTACTGCACAATTTTGAGTTTTATATTGCACGTTTTTCTGTTAATCTGGTCTCTAGTTTTAAGTATAAAAATCAGAAGAAAAAAAAAACCTTCAATTTCTTATTTTATAATCTAATTAACATTCCATGAGATGATAATTTATAGAGATAACTTATTGTACCAAAAGCCAACAGACTATAAAAGAAAAACAGGAAAAAAAAACAACAAAAGATTTTACTTATTAAACATGCTAAACAAAACAAATTAATGGTTAATCACAAAAAAATTGATGAACACACTACAATACTTTATAAACACGTACACAAAATTTAACAAAAAAGTTAGAAACTTGTTAATTTGCAAGAGAGATTATTAAGTAATTTAAATAATAAAATAAATAAAATGACGCAACATGTAGAACTTTTGATGAGCCTGACTCTATGGAGAAAATATTTAAAGCATTGAGAAGACCTTATATATTATATAATAATGCTAAGTTTTCTTCATTTATATAAAAATCATGTTCATTTTAAAATACAAAATAAACTATTTAAAACAAATAAGAATTGTTCACAATTATTGTTAATTGCATTGAAGTATTACTTAATACATTAACTGAGATTATAATAGCGATTAGAATTGTTATATTTCCAGAACCATGGTTTTTAACACTTACTTGCTCCATATAAGCACCACGCACCAATTTACAACCAAAGTAAAAATTTTGCCTCTTGGCTTGTTCTAAGTCGGTAGAAACTTCCTTTAAAGCATCTTTCAGATAACATTGGTATGTATTAAAAACAATTGCCTAGAAAAATGGATACTATTATACACATATATATAATTTATGCTCACACATTTAATTTATAATGAAATGAAAATTACTATTAAAAAAACATCATCAACATTAAGATATGATAGTGAAACTACTTACTTTATCAGTATTGTATTTTCTCATCATTTCAAGAGTTATCCTTGAAATGGCTGGTTGGAAATATGTTTGTTCAGCATCAATCATAACACGCACATCTAGATCTTTAGCAGCCTAAAATAATATAAATTAATCACTTATTTGATTTTAAAAAATCACTACAATACCAAATTAAAATCAACAAATGCATATAAACTGAATAAAAATACATAATTAAGTTAAGACTAATTACAAATTATTTAACTTAAAGGAGCAAAACCAATCCATAGAAGAATTAACAATCCATGAATTGATAAATATTTTGACAAATTGAAGAAATATTATCTGACAAACCTTGATTAAAGTATTAACACGCCTTATCATGTTACGGAACATTTCTTCTTCCTTAGATGACAACTGAGATATCAGTCGAACCATTCTTCCTTCCTTCAAACTTGGAACACGGAAAGTGTCATTAAGTCCAAAGTTTTCATCAACTATACCACTCCAGGGGAACAAATGTATCACACTAAAACAAAGGATTTTTTTTGTTGTTGTAAATAATCATTAACTAAAGACTGTATATTTTATTCTCCAAAATAAAATACACTAATTTTTATTAATAAAAATAGAAATGTGAAATTGGAATAGGTTAAAACTTAAAAAGAAAACTACTAATGATTGTAAAAAGAAAATCATAGATTGAGGTTGCATGTACAAAAATGCATAGCCTTGCCCAGTGTGTAAATATGAAACTGTAATTTATCCATAGATCACTCTAATCGTTATTGTAGTTATCATTAAACCAAACTATTGATGCCATTTTGTTTCTTTGACAGGTGAAAAAGATTTTTATCTCACAACTATTACAGTTCATCTGACATCATCTGATGTTACCATTTAAAGAAAACTGGTGCAGAATCGCACCAAATACTTGTCAAAGCTTATGATGAGCATACTCGTAGCAAATCACAGTGCTTTGAATGCTTTAAAAAATTCAAAAGAGGCGATATTTACAAGAAAAATGAAGAATGTGGAAGACCACTGAAAAAGTTTGAAGACAGTGAATTATTAGCATTGTTGGATGAGGATGACGCTCAAATCCAAAAACAACTCACGAACCAATTGAATGTAACCCAAGAGTCTATCATCATACATTTAAAAGCCATGGAAAAAATCCAAATTGGGAAAATGGGTTCCATGAACTGGAAAATCATTTCAGAAATGCTACTAGCAAGGTACAAAAGAAATTCATTTCTCAATTGAACAGGTGATGAAAAGTGAATATATTTTGAGAATCATATATATTCAATGATCAATGATCAAGCATCAATGACCCTGGGTAAATCCAGGCCAAGGCTAAGTCACAATGGAAAGCAGACAATGCACTGGGTTTGTTAAGATCAGAAGGGTGTGATCTATTATGAGCTCCAAAAACTTGGCAAAGCAGTTAATAATGAACACTATCAACAACAAATGATCGATTTGAAACTGTGAAAAATTACCAGAATATAAAAAAATCTGGTGTGGTACACGCATCACACAACTTTCACTTAACACCCTGCTTTTGAGTAAAAATAGGTCTTTTTGAACATATGTAGGTGGGTTGTTTTGATGTTTTAGACATAAAACATCTAGGATATATGCACCCAAAATAATATTAATATTAAAATATTAATTTAGCATAGAAGATACTTACCCTTCACTGTCTTTAACAACTTTTTCAAGAAACTTTTTAGTATCCTTAATGCCAGCTTGTTCTAATCTTTTCTCTAAATCAGCAGCAGTTAATTTCTGCCCAATTACATTTCCTTGGCCACCGATTACTTCACTAACAAATTTACGAGCTCGCATAATAACTTCAGAAAGTTGCAACTAAAAAATAAAAATAATACAATAAAATAGCATATTACTGTATCACATATTCATATTTGTATGCTATAATATACACTCAATTACATACTCCATAAACATAATTCTCGCAGATTCAACAACTGAATGCATCTAGAATTAATTCACCAAAATAAAGCGTAAACATATTACTTTTAAAATCGTCTCCATGTTCCATAAGGCCAAAAACAGTTACTTTTTTCAAAATATACTGAGACATGTAGGACTGTCAGGAAATGAGATGTCAGACTAAGCTGCAAATCAAAACCAGCTCCATAAGATAAATGCAAGGTTCCATTTATTTATTGGACTTGATATAAGTAGTGAGGAGAAAAATAATCAAAGTTCGGTAGAAGTTTTACAAATGTGTCTGAGGATGTGAATCAAACAATAAGGACCATGGAGCAGTACACCTAACCTCTGAGTTGGAGACATTTAAATCACCCAGTTATATTGAAGCTGACCCGCTTAAAAATAAATCATGTAAGTACAAATAAATATTTATATATAATGGCTCTAAGAGCAGTAAATATTGCGTTCCACTGTAAAAGGTTCAAGAAACAGAGAATTAGTGTAGGTCAGCAAGTTTAGTTGGCAATGCCACTTTCCTAAGATCTATAGATGGAAATAATGCCAGTACCTTATGTCAATTTTTAAACATAATAAAGGTCCCTATAAAAGCAGGCGCTTCTTGTTTTCTTTTTGTTTCAGTTTTAATAGTATAACATTTTGCAATGCCTAATTAAACACTATCTTGGCTAAATAGGACTTACGTTGGCAAGTCATAAGGCTGGAAAAAAGATACTAAAAATATCATATTACATTTATACTATAGCAAGAAAAAGCTTCTGTGATACATTTAATATGATAAATTTAAACACAGATTGAAATGTCTACGAATGATTAACTATCTTGCTTTGTCTATATAAGGATCAGCCCTAGAGCATAATTATTAATTCAATATCCCTAACAGCTGTGGAAGGGATTGGCTCAATAAAATAAACAGATGTAATTCACGGAGAACTTTTGAAATATGGAGGAGAAAAAGTGGACAAATTTTTGTATGATCTTGTCATGGACATATTGCTGAGTGAAGAAATGCCAGTTGATTGATACTTGACAACCATATGTCCCATACATAAGAAAGGAGTCATTATGGAATGCAAGAACTACCAAGAAATATCTCTGCTCTCTAACGGCTACAAAGTATTCTCAAGGGTGCTATATCACAGACTCTGCCCCACAAGCCAAGAGAGAAATTGGATTGTACCAGGCAGGGTTCATGAGAGGTCGAGGGACTGTGGATCAGATCTCAATAAGAGCAATCTTAGAAAAAGCCAGAGAGTACAATATTACCAGGCATCACCTCTTTATTGATTTTTAGAAAGCCTAAGACAGTATAATAAGGGAAGAGATATACCAAAATCTGATTGAATTCGAAACTCTCTCCAAGTTGGTCCATTTGACAATGATGACAATGAAGAAGGTGGAGTGTGCTGTCCAAGTAGGTGGAGGACTTTTTAAGGATTTTGAAAGATACCAAAGCCTTATCCAGGGTGATAGCCTTGCCTGTTTATTGTTTAATATGGCACTGGAATGTGCTGTTAGAAGTTCAAATGTACAGATTGGAGGCACCTTATTTAACAAATTGGCTCAAATCTTTGGCATTGCGGATGACTTGGATATAATGGGAAGAAGCTCGGCATCTATGCAGAAGGAATTTCTCGCAATACAGGAAGCTGCACAAAGAATGGGTCTAACAATAAATTAATCAAAAACCAAATATAAGAGAGCAGGTCTGCAAGCATTAGATCGGTAGGATACCCATGTGAAAATCGGTGACTTCACGTTTGACTGTGTGAACGAATTTATTTATTTGAGCTGTCAAGTGGACTCCGACAAAAATAAGACCCTCATAAGACCTGTTCCAAACTATGCTTCCAAATGTTCGACAATTTCTTAAGCTCAAGAACTAAACTGGAGGGCAGTAGCAACGATCCGAAGACTGGCGGTTGATGATGCGGGAGGCCTTGATTCACCACTGAGTTGTAGTGCCGGAAGAAGAAGAATGTATTGCAATCTTGAATACTCTGTCACACTTTTTACTTTATTTTAAGCAAAGCATATTCGAGTACTGGTCTACATAAAATAAATATGGACTATATACAGCACATTCTCAGCAGATGGTTATTCTACTTTCAAATATTCACTTTTACAATTTAAATTGAGTTGGAGTTTGAGGAGCGCCTTTTGGCACTAACCATTTTTTACACATTTTAACGGTTTTGTGGCCTTGCGGACTTCTATGGCCCCTTCAAATTAATTTATAGAGTTAAACATTTGTAAATTGAATTGATGTGAGAAATGTTCCTTCTAAGCTCTCAACTTTTTCTTTCACTCCTGAGATTTCGATTAATTAAATTCGGAAACAAATAATAAAATGTTCAAGAACAAAACATGAGAAATATATTAGCAGCTTAAATAATTTAAAAATTCTATTTAAACCTTTAGAAAGTATTAAAGCACTATCTATTTTCAAAACAAAACTAAGTTGGTGACAAAAAATGTTTAACCAATGAAAATGGTGAACCGGCCTTGTTAATGCCACAGCTTTAATTTATTTTAAATAATAATTTATTTAATTGATGGTTTGGTTTATTTCAACAAAATGAAATCAATTATTAATTATATATATTCAAAGGCCAATAGCTTATATTGTTTATAATCGATATAGACTGGTTGATAGTTAATATATATAGTGTTGTAGATTGTAGCCCTATCTATAAACAAGTCCTAGGTTCAAGCACTAAGCCCATGGACTTCGCCAATACACAGTCTAACTCTGTCCGTTACTAATCTCATTGATGCCAACCTCGATACTGCCACTGCAGCCCTATGGTGAAAAGATCTACTTCTCTCTATCTACTCGTTGCGCTCGCCGCTGCCCACTTGCAGTTTGAGAGCTCATGAAAAATCTACGTTTGGTAGCTGTATAAAGACTGGAGTAACAGTGGTTCATCTACTTTTATCACCTGCTTGCGTCTATGTAACATTAGACAAATTTTATTATTTTTTGTTTTGTATAAATTTTATTTGCGGGCTATTAATATTTGTTTATTAGTCTCTATATGGAAGGATGAAGTGGAGAGAGATGCGAAGAAGCTAGGAGTTCGCAATTGGAAGAGAGTAGCACAGGACAGAGAGAAGTGGAGAAAAATAACTCAGGAGGACAAGGGTCATGCTGGCCTGTAGCTCCCGGGAGTTAGTTAGTCTCTATTATTGATTTTAATATTAGGTCATTCATATCATTTATCTAATTAATTTCCATATGCAAACATTGTTTTATTTTATTGGATATTTCTTAATTGTTTTATTATCATTATATTAAGCTTATATTGATTTTCATTTATAGAAGTTATTATTTTATTTTATTTTTATTGTAATTTGAAATTTATTCCATTTTTTTCTTACTTTCTTTCTTATTATGTTTAATTATTGAAAATAAATGTTTAATCCAAGTATCGTTACAGTCCACTTTTTATTATAATTTGTTTTAATCAAATCGTCATTAAGCTTCATTCAAACCATGAGGGAGCTTAAAAGACCTTATTTGTTAAAAAAATTTTATTTGTGTTTGGGAAAATTTTCATCTATCTTTGTTCATAAAATATTATTAGGCTAGCAGAAATATTTATCCTAGTTACTTTAGTATTTTTATATATACTTTTGTTATTAATGTACACATTTTTAAATATTATATTTCAGAAATAACTTTAATTGTGCATACGGTACCTGCAATATATAATATATATATATATATATTTTTTTTTTTTTTTTTGTAAGTCTAATGAAGTTCGGAAATAAAGATGTTATGTTGCTAATAGTAGACAACAATATTCTCCATCTCCTATTACAGATGACTTTATTGCTTGATGTGAAAATTAAGTCAAGAATTTTATATAAAATGTAATTAACGATTGGAATCCTGTGTGCATTTAGTAGACACATACAGAGGCTGAATCTGTGAAAACTACTATATTACACTTTTTATAGTGTAAGATACAAAATATTTATATTTCTGACTTAAAAAAGTATTACTTAAGAATCAGTTTTGTTGTTAATCGTAAAAATTTTGTTAAAAAATAATGATCAGGATATGATTTTTATCATTTCTGACCAAAAATAAAAATTGCTCTTAATATAGCATTTCCATTTCAAATTCAAACTTTTCCAAGTCAACTTCAACCTTTTCCATTTCAAATTCAACTTTCAACTTTTGTCAATTTTTGATTTTTTTCTAAATGAAGGCCACTTACAATATTATCGAAGGCAATAATAGCTTATGAAAAATACAAAAAAAAATGTTGATAATGCGGTTGCATATCCATTTATTTTAACATTTTAGATTTTTTAAGTGTAATATTTCTATGTCATATTCAATTATTTCCAAGTCAAATTCAACCTTTTAAAGATCAAATTAAACTTTTTCCAAGTCAAATTCAACCATTTCCATTTCAAATTAAACCTTTTACAATTCAAATTCAACCGTTTTCATTTCAAATTAATGTTTTAATTTTTTGTAAATTTTGTATTTTCTTTTAAATAATGGCCATCCCCTCCCCCCCCCTCCAATATGAAAGTCTATTATTATGCTCTCCTAAGTAGAATTTTCACTTTCGGATATCGATTTATTGTACCCATTCGGATTTATTAGGGACTAGTATTATGCTGTCCTGTACCTAGTTTTTAAAATAACCTCCATTTTAAGATTACGCCACTGCATTTCGACTTATTTAAGTTTTTTTGATTTATTCGATACAAGGGTGTATTCTTATGTTTTCTGAGCCATAAATTATGAAAATAACCTCCATTTTATGATCAGGCCATAGTGTTTTGACTTATTTAAGTTTTTTGAATTTATCCAATATAAAGTTCTACTTTTATGATTCCAGAGCCATAGATTTTGAACGACCTCCATTTTAAGATTAGGCCACCGTGTTTTGATTTCTTTAAGTGTTTCAATTTTTATCGTAAAAGAGTGTATTCTTATGTTTCCGGAGTCGTAGATTTTGAAAATCACCTCCATTTTAAGATTACGCCACTGCGTTTCGACTTATTAAAGTTTTTTGAATTTATCTAATTTAAAGGTCTACTTTTATGATGCCGGAGCCATAGTTTTTAAAACGACTTACATTTTAAGATTAGGTCACTGTGGTTCGGTTTTTTAAGTGTTTTTGATTATTCCTTCGAATAAAAAACAAAATACGAAGGATCAATTTATTTTTTTAATAAATAAATAAAAATATCTAATCGAAATAAATAAAATATGTACTCTCATTTTTAATTTAATTTTAGTTATCTTTTTTAATGTTGTGGTCTCCTGTAACAAAATTATAAGATTTCGTACAATTAGCTGAAAAATCTGAATAGGGTAGGTTAAATTTATTACCTGTTGCTTTTCGGCTTTTTAGTATGTATTCTGTGGTTAATTTAACTTTAGCTTCATAATATTTATTTATTCATACTCGAAAACATATTGATGAAACTTTGTATTGAAAAACTCCAAAATGAAGCCTAATTAATCGAGATGCAGCGGCTAAATCATAAAATGAAGATTAAATATTAGATAAATTTAAATATTAAAGATTAGAAAAATTTCAATACGTCTCCGATAACATATAAGTAGATCCTTATACCGAAAAAGTAAAAAAAAAAAAACTTTTATAACCCAAAACACAGTGGCATAAACTTAAAATGGGGTCATTTACAAAATGGGGGAAATCTACTGCTCCAGAAACATAAAAGTATGCCTTTAAATTGGATAAATTCGAAAAACTTAAATAAGTCAAAATGCAATGGCGTAATCATGAAATGGAGGTAATTTTCAAAATCTGCGGCGCTGGAAACATAAAAGTAGACCTTTAAATTGGATAAATTTGAAAAACTTAAATAAGTTAACACGCAGAGGAGTAACCATAAAATGGAGGTCATTTTCAAAATCTACGGCTCAAGAAACATAAAAGTAGACCTTCAAATTGGATAAATTTGAAAAACTTAAATAAGTCGAAACGCAGTGGCATAATCTTAAAATGGAGGTCATTTTCTAAATCTACTGCTCCAGAAACATAAAACTATACCTTTAAATTGGATAAATTCGATAAACTTAAATAAGTCAAAATGCAATGGCGTAATCATGAAATGGAGGTAATTTTCAAAATCTACGGCGCTGGAAACATAAAAGTAGACCTTTGAATTGGATAAATTTGAAAAACTTAAATAAGTCGAAACGCAGTGGCGTAATCTTAAAATGGATGCCATTTTCAAAATATACGGCTCTAAAAACATAAGAATACACCTTCATATGAAAAAAATCCAAAAAACTCAAATAAGTCGAAGCGCGGTGGCCTAATCTTAAAATGGAGGTCGTTTAAAAAATCTACGGTTCCGGAAACATAAAAGTAGACCTTTATATTGGATAAATTCTAAAAACTTAAATAAGTCAAAACACAGTGGCGTAAACATAAAATGGATGTCATTTTCAAAATTTACGGATCAGGAAACATAAAAATACACCCTTATATCGAATAAATCAAAAAAACTTAAATAATTCGAAACACAGTCATGTAATCTTAAAATGGAGGTTATTTTCAAAAACTACTCATACGATAACAGACCCATACATCGAAAAATTAAAGATAATTAAATAAATAAAAAAAGGTTGAATAGAAATGGAAAAGGTTGAATTTGACTTGGAAAAAGTTTAATTTGATTTGGAAAAGGTTGAATTTGACTTGGAAAAGGTTGAAATTGACTTGGAAATGCTATAATAATCATCAAATGATTTTTAAAAATTCCAGATCGAAATTTTGACTTTTTTTAATTATAGTGATTTAAAACCTTGTTTTTTTTTTTTTTTGTTATTGTTACAATGTTATATAAATTAATTAATAACAAAACATTATTTCTTAACGCCAATGATACTTTTAGGGTAGGGGCGAAGATCAAATAATCAAATAATTTCTTACATTTAATACCCATACAAAATTAAAACAAACGAAAAAATGGAATGATAATATCACAATCGTCGATTCATGCGATTGCAGTCTCTTCCAAGTTCAGAAACAATAGACAATGAGAAAAATACTTATTTTCTTTAAATTCATCTAATAAAACCTAGGAGCCAATGCGAGACCTTTGATGTTTATCGCATGAAGGCCAAAAGGGTTCATTCGCAAAGAATACTAACCATATGTGTTACAAGAATTGCTTGCCAACGTGACGTAGAATGAAGATTCGTCTAGTGTGTAACCACCTTAAGAGTTCCCTATAATTTCAGAAATATTTCGGTTGTTCAAACCATAAAAAAGAAAAGTTAAAATACGGAGGGCTAACTTCAACTTTTTGAAACTATAAGCCTTACAACACTGTTGATATAAATTTTAGAGCTACAGTGTATTAGAATAATTGTTAGAACTCGTAGAGGAAAGAAACTTTTTTTTTTTTCATTTATTGATTATGATACAACAGTATAAAAAAAAATACATCTAGTAAATTCATATATGGATATAATGACATGAAACACATGTTGAGAAACTATCCACTAGTAGCACTTTACTAATATGTCTACATTAGGAGATCACGGGGCCATCTTCTTTTCAGCTGCCTCAAAGGGTTATCAGGAATTGAATAGGAAGCAAGGTTAGAAACAAGAGGGTTAGGGTGGTTATGAAGTTTATTATTATTATGGAAGGATAGATATCTGGATTGGACCAAATCTAAGACATAAGAAACATGGGCCAAACATAAGAAACATTGGGCCAAACATAAGAAACATTAAGGTCATTGTGGATGACTTTATTTTTAACAAAGGAGCATTGAGAATTTTACGAGGGATTTTGGATTGTAAGGCTTGGATACGAGAGGAATATGAAGGTTTGATGGAGCCCTATAGCTTAACTCCGTAAGTCCAAATAGGCCTTATTACAGTCATGTATATGAGTCTTCTGTAATTAATTGGAAGGTTAGAGCGTTTGTCTAGTAAGTGTTGAAGTAGTCGGAAATGTCGAGAGGTTTCTTGTTGTTTCAGTCTGGTATGAGGATTCCAAGTTAGACGTTTTTCCAGGTGTAGTCGTAGATAATGGATTTGTTCAACAGGAATAAGAGAGGTGTTGTTAAAGGATACTGAAGGACAGGAAGTCACTGTTTTACGACAAGAAACTTAGAACTCCAAAGAAACTTAAAAATTAAAAAAATTTCAATCCTGTAAATATAGTCATCAAAACTAAAAAAAAAAATTATTAAATTCTTATCGTCCCTTTAAGAGTTCAATTCTTAAAAATAGTTAAGCAATTAAAACAATGCAAAAAAGAAAAGAAAGGTAGACGTGCGGTGGTTAACTTCATACTTTGTGCAACTTCGAGAAATTATAACAGCTTTGCTATCAACTTTAAAAATATGATTCATATATCTGAATAATATAAATTTATCTGGGGACATCTGAACTCTCAACGAAATAGCAAAATTCTTAAAAACATTTTTCAAAATGTAGATAAAAAATACTTAAGTCCAAAGAAGTAAACAATAGCCTAATGATTATTATTAAAACAAGATTACAATGTTTGGTAGAAAAAAAAAGGAAATGGTTCTTAAAAGTTGTAAAAAATAAATTTATAAAAAATAAATGTTTTTTAATTAAATTTTAATTCTTATATTTATTATATTCGTTGGACGTTTCAGGAAATGTTCTTTCCATCATCAGAAACGTATTATTTACAGTTCAGTGTTTTTTTGCAATTGGTTACCAACTGTAATATGTATAATCCTAGAAATGAAACAAACGACCTTATTTATATTGTCACAAAAGGAAAAAACAAAAATTTTCCATTTTTTCCCATACAATTCCGGGTTTTGGGGAAATTCCTGGCCACTGGACATTCTGAATAAAGGTTTTGTTAGTAATCTTCTAACAATGGCCTTATTATAATAATCCTGAGGAGTTCTTGCTCTAATTTTATTTAAAAATAGATGGATTTAGAATGATATAATACATGCTCATTATATAGAAATCATAAAATAAGCATGAAAGAGGTATTACATATTCTAAAAATTTAAACAAGTTAAATTTCACAACACTAAACAATCCTTCAGTTTAGACGATCGTCAATCCAAAGTTTTTAATTTATTGAGCTATCCAATTATATTGTGTGATGTAGGTTCAATCATTATTATATATATTTAGTGACAAAAGACCTAACAATGAGATTTGGCCATCCCAATTGAAAACAAATCCAACTTTGCATAGAGATTTATTTATTTTTTAAACTTGGACAATTAACTATAAAATGCAGCCATAATGTGAAATTCTTATTTCTAATACAGATATATAAAATAACTTGTCTTCCCAGCCTAGAAAGCCTTCTGAAAGTAGAAAGAAGAATTCTCGGAAGAATCTACGGACCTAGGAGAACACCTGAAGGGTACAGGTTGAAGTCAAATGAAGAAATATATAAGGAAACAACAGATCTAGAAACTGACGCTAGGGTGGTAAGGCTGAGGTTCTATGGCCATATGATGAGGATGAATCCTGAAAGACAACCATAAAATTTTTCTGCGAATCCACAGTCATAAAAATTTAAGCGGGATTTCAAACAGGTTAAGGATGATATGGACCAAGTGGGGCTAACAGACCAAGATTGTTTGGACAGAGATGAGTATAGGAAGGCGCTCAAGGGAATAACGGTTCTTACGGGAAAGAAGCGCTCCAAAAAGGGTGTTGCGAGGTCTGAGGAGAGAAAACGTAAGCACGCAGAGCTCATGAGCTCTGCGTGCTTACGTTTCCTCATGAGGGGCATATGGGAGAGGATGAGGCAGATGAAGAGAAAGCATTGAAATCGTGATATTTGCTTGGTCTTTAAGGCCTGCTCGTGAAAAAAAAACTTATCAATAAAACAGAACAAACCTTACCAAGAGCTGAGGTCTCCCAAGAGCAGTTAGCTTAATAGCGGTTATTCCTGTGCCATAAGTAGCTCCTATAAAAATAAATAATAACAAAATGAGGTTTTAAAAATTATACAAAAATACATATCAACCAACATATCTAAAAAAATTACATTTATTACTAAAAGTTAGTACAATTCAATGATGGATTAATTAAAACAAACTTTCTAACATTATTTATTAAGATTGCCATTAATTTCTAATTAAAAATTCAGTATTGATAAAGTAATTATTAATATTATTAGCAGGTGTTATTGACCAGTGGTTGAGTCTAAGGCTGCCTAGTCTTAGATCGTTATTCTTCTCAGGTTTTTGTTACCTCCCTTTTTGAGTATACAGATGTTTACTCTTAAAAAGCATTGACGTAAAATTAAAAACCTTTACTTTAGATTATCAGTTTGCTACTATTTGTATAATATTCATACTATACTAATATCCAAATTGCATCCTATTGAGTTTGATAGTAATGGATACTATGTTAGGGATTGGGTGAGGAATCTAATGGATGAAAAACAATTTAAACTGGAAAAAAACTAGAAAACTTAGAAAAAGAAAAAGTAAAGAAGAATCGCTTTGAACACAAAATTTACTATTATAAACATAATTTCTATCAAAGAGTAATTAACAAAACTGATCTTCAGCTTAATGATACATTAACTAAAAACAAGTTATGTGAGCTAGCGGCAGACATTGAATATGCGGAGTAATTACATGAAAATGAAGCATTGTATACTGAGGCTATTAAGAGTAAGTATGCAATATTTGTATCAACAGATTCAGCAAATTTCTCTTGGACTCCTTCATCTTTAAGCTTAGAAGTATCAAATCTAATGGGAGAATTAACACATTAGCTTCATGACAATATTCTGGGCTTGATCTTCGAAATTGTGAGATAATCAGAATCTATCTTAGCTCTTAACTAAGACTTTAAGTCCATCAATTTGACACAGTAAAATGTATTAGTCTTTTTCCATTACCATTCAATGTATCATGCAGGCTAAGAAGTCCTATTTTGGGTCAATAAATAACCTCTTTACCAATTAATGCATTATAATCTCAGAGAACCATTTTCATACTTAGAGCAAGTATTCAGGTATCTTTCGAGGTCTTTGTAAAAAGAGTCCTTCACATTATCTAGACAGGAGGCCTCGACTGCCATGCTCCTCTTTTAATTGCCAAATACAAAATAATTACTAAGAACACCTCTACCAGCCTTATTTATTCAAAAACTTAACTATATCAACTCTGAATTGTTAATTTCAAATTTAAAGACATGACCTTAATAATGATATTATATGATTTCATTGCACTTACTAATCAATAAAACCTCATGGCCTAGATATATAATTTTAACTATAACTTGGACATATTTTTACAGATTTTGACTCCCTGGTCACAGCAAAGAAAAAAACTAATAAGAACATTTAAAAATGTATTACCTTAGTAATTTAAATGAAATAGAGGATGTATACCACTACGTCACTGTTTGTCCGATTTTACAGGAATATAGAATCAAACATTTTAAGAAAAAAATCATCAACCGCAATTAACTTATAGACATACTCAATGGCAAAGGTTAGAGCAGTTAATATATGTATCATAGATATGCTTATAAATATAGAATGTTTTTAATTTAGCAATGCAACACATAACATTAGTTATATGTAAACAAAAGCAAGAACAAGAATAATATTAAGGTTATGCAACAAAAATTATTTATTTCTTGTTTTTTGACAAATTAAAGTTTATTTAGATTAAATGTATTAGGTAGTTTTAAGTTGTTTTAAATAACATAAGGTTGATTAATGTTTCTAAAGTATATTGTTTTTATTTATTTTATTATTATTAATTCTTTTCATTGAATGCATTATTAAGGCAACTCCAGGCACAGTTCTATACCATTGCCAATAAAAAAAAAAGGAATAAGTAAAATTTATATGAAATAAAGCTTTATTTCTATTTATCTATCTAATAATTTATTACTTTAGATTATGTTATAGTAACACAAACTTTACCTGCAACAGCATTGAGACATTCCAAAAATGTTTCTACGTTTCGTTCACAAGTAGCTTCATTTAAATAGAAATATGTACGTGCACTTTGAACTTTATATCTTCTATCCGCAAATGTTTTGGTAACATTATATTGAGGCATTTCCCCACCAACTGATGAAGCTAAATGCATTAAAAATAATATTAAAATAAAACATATACAACTTTAATACATTAGAAAAAAAATGTATAATTTAATATTCAAGCTAGAAATATTAATAATTTTTCTTATAATTTTTTCTTTTAAACATCCAACAAATTAAAAAATATTACCTTCTGGCCTAGCTGCTGCATTGGAACAATAAAACAATTATTAGTTTTGGGATTTTTATGATAACGAGTAATTATGTTTATAAACATAGTTCTTGTAAAGGAATGGTTAATATTATTTTAGAACAACAGGACCATCATTTTCAATGAACAGAAACTCCCACAAGTAGAACTTAATGGAAAGCACAATACTTTTAAAGCATATTCCTATTAAATGCTCTCAGCAAATCATTATAGCCTAACTTTGTAATAGATACCTAAGGAAGGAATATAGTTTATAACAGTTAATTAGTCTTTCAGGCCTACTTTATACTTTTTTAGAGCTAAATGAGAATATTTAATTCAGGAAGACATGAAGAGAATGGAATATATTCATATTAACGATATATTAAATAAGTCACAGTGATACAAAATTAATAATTTTCTATAGATGAATCGAAGATTAGATCATAAATAATTGTTACCGTGATGTGAGATAGTATATTTCACAAGGATGTGTGATGAAAATAACATCATTAATAAATTATTTAGCCAGTAAAATTAGCTAATATAATTAAATATATAATATATATATATATATATATATATATGTATATATAAAATCTCTGATGAGTATTATGAGTAAACCAGTAATAATATAACATTATGACTAATCATCAAACTTTAAAAATGCACAGTAAACGACTAGAGTTTAAATAAATTTCGAAGTTAATGCAGGACTGTAATATAAGAGAAACCTTCGTAAACAATTAGAGAAAAAGTATTAGGTGGATCCATAAGTTTCTTTGGTTTTAGAAGGGTGAAATCAAAAAAGTTTTTTTTATATAAAGAATAAATTTTACTCAATAATTTATTTACTGTTTTTATTAACGACCTCTTGCTTTCTTTCTAACAATTTCTTTATTATGCTCTTGTAAAATATCTGCTTAGAAGCAAAAAACTTAGGGGCTGAGAAACAAAAAAGTGATCGAGATTCCTTTTCACATCTCTCTCATCAGCGAACGATACCCATTGAGGGAGTTTTGGAGCGGCCGGAATAAGTGGTAGTCGGATGGCGCAAGGTCTGTAGAGTACGGTGGGTGTAATAAAACATCCCAGCCAAGTTGCACTAGCTTTATATAATTACTGTGGAGTGTGGTCTGGCGTCTTGGTGGAATACAAAACCTTAGCGATTGACTAGTTCTGGGCATTTCTGTAGCAATTACTGGTCCAATTTTGTTAGCTGGGTGCAGTAAATCCTCGAATCAATCATTCTTCCTTGTGGAAGCAGCTCGTAAAACAGCACGCCACGATAATCCCAGCAAAATCTTTTTCAGATGTAGGCCGGCTTTGGGGGGAATAAAACAATTATTAGGCATTAGGCGACTCATCATTAGTTGTTGCACCAAACATTGTCGTTGTTAATGCTGCATAGACATATATCATTAATTTTTTCATTATTATTTTTTTCTAACCATTAACCCTTTTTGAATGTTAATGAGGGAATGAATATTTGTTTTTTTTATAATAGGCTGAGGAATAGTGTCCCTAAAATGTATATAGGTTTATGGTGTTTATATATTTGGGCTGTTTTGCGATGTATTATCGCGTGGTAATACACACCAGCCCGGCAGTAATACCCTGTTTTAGGGATTAAGACATCAAAATACGGGCGAAGGGGAGTCTGGAGCTGGCCTTCGTTATTGGGTCCACGTAGTGGACAATTTCTCTCACCTTCTCACCAGCCGCTCCAGTTAACTCAAGCCCCACCAGCCTAGTATAAGTGCCCTGTTGTTTTTTTCGAGGGTCTGGAGCTACCTTTCGTATGGAGCAGAAGTCTACCCCCACCATTTTCACCAAGTTCCAGGCTCATTTTCATCTCACCTGCGCCATTTAAAGATCCCAGCTGTTTCATCGCGAGTCATCGATCAGCACATCGATATGCATATCGATCCCCCACCATCGACTGCTTTGACAGCTGAACTTCAGGTAACTAACCTCTTGGGAAATATAGCCCCCAATTTGGGATATTTTCGTTCACTTCTCTCACCGTTACCAAAGACATTTTTTTTTCTCTTGGTTTACCATAATTTTAGAAGTTGATTTTATTTATATTTTGCTATTAATGGTTATTTTGGTTTTATTTTCTCTGCATATTATGTTTATGTTTTATTTTTCTCGCAACTTTACACCAATATTTATTTTAAATTTTGTACATATATAAATCTTTTATCTCAATAAATTGTAAACATTCAAAAGGGGAATTTTATTTTACATTTTTTTTACTTATTGAAGTATTTCTATTTTTTAATATTCTCTTGTGCATGAATTTGTTTTTTTTCTTTAATGTTTTACAGGTCTCATTATTCACTAATTTTTTTTCTCCTTCTTTCCCAACGTTTTTTAATTTCACTCGAATTTTCCCCACCATTGAGGAAACGCATCGGGGAAAGATTTGTACTTCGATTTTGAAGTACCCCTGGCCCTAACAGTCATAGACGATCTCATTTTCGTCATCTGCCTCAATTTTTTTTGAGTAATGGGTCCCTTTCGTGACGGTTCAGAAGAGTTGCAGATTGATAATCAGCCAAGCTGTTTTAAATACCTTTGAACGGTTCTAAAACCTATTTTCAGTGTCTCAGAATTTCTTGTATCTGTAGCAATCGACCTTGTTCGATTAGAACCTTTATACCACTTGAAAAACCTTGGTGGGCCAACTATGGCATGGTGCATCTTCGAGATTCATATCTCCAAAATAAAACTTGCCAAAATATTTTTGAACATTACGTTCTGTTAAGGCATCGTTCACATATAGCTTACATATCTGTCGGTGGGCCTCCGAAGTTCGCTTGTCTTCTTTGCAATAAAAAAGAAAAATATGTCGAAAATGTCCTTTATTATTTGACATATTCATTGCGTTGTAGCAAAAATAAAACTAATGCCAATGAAACTAAACACAACAGTTTCGAAGAGCAGGCCTTAATAGGTATCATTATTGTCAGATAAGGCAAAGAGAACTGGAGATATTTGAAAACAATTCACACTATTAACAAAAACAGAACAAACTTATGGATCCATCCAATACTAAGGAAGAGTTTACGAATACTGATTGAAAATTCAGGATAATCTAAAAACACAGTTACATTTAATTCAATTTTATCATTGAAACAGTTGGCTAAATTCATTCATTTTTCTCTCATTAGTTTTTACTCTTCAATTCTTTTTCCACCTTAACAAGCCTGCATCACTAGTCTACCATATCATGGGCTAATGATTTCAAATTTGCTATAGATAGCTCAACAGTACCATAGTTTATTCTCTGTATACATCTGGATTTAAATTTCCAATGTTCCCTAACTGACTTGTAGAGAAGTCCTGAAGGAGAGGATGCTATATATCATGCCCATCGAGTCAAGATATTAAACTAATATAAGATTGAGGTATAGAATTCCATGGGCTCTGAAGAAAACATACATCCTGTTAAAAGTTGTCCTGCTACCATAGGAAATAATTTTAAGATGAGAAAAAAATTATTTAGATAAAAACATTAAGGCCAAGGTCTCTACCAAAACCTTTTTCTATGGAATACTCAAGTCATCAAATAGTTGTGATAGGACATGATATATATATCATCCTACTTCTAAAATATTATGGGGCAATAAACAACAAAGACTTTGTCACTTTATATGCTACTACAATTAATTTAAATGCTAGTTTACAATTTACATTAGGTGCATACAATTCATCTCTTTTCAGTAAGTATCTTAAAAGAAAAGATACTTAAAACCTGACTTTATGAGAAATGGAAACTGAAGTTTATTAATGATTTTACACCTTCAATATTGGTAATGAAACAATTACTAAAAAATAAAACAGATAAACTTATATTTAGTGAAGTTTATAAGGTTTATGGACTGTAATTGCAACAATATAAATCACTATCATGTAAACTTATTGTGAAAAATAATCATTTTGAGTCATGACAGCTAATTCCCACACATGTACATTGGCTTGAACAAATTCCCTGGCTTTGTCTTTTCCAAAAATGCCTTTAACTTTTCAGTTTTCCAGATCCAATAGACATCCTGTGAGATATCAAAGTAGTAGTCATGCAAGAACACAGATGGGTAGGATTCATGATAAAAAAAATATATAACATGCTTTGCCAGATTATACTATGGTTAGTGAATGAATATGCAGGAAAAAAAAAAAAAAGGAAAACTAGCTAGCTCCACTATAACTAGTGTGCATGCTCTGATTAAAGAGGCAACAAACATAAAGATACTAGTACCTTCTACAGGACCATTGAAGAAATATTTAGCAGTCTGCCAAAACAAATAAATATTATAGCATTCTCTAGTACTAGTGAAAATTGGACTATAAGAGTATTTCAGATTTACATAACAATATCACATAATGATGGTCACTGAGACCGCTAAATAGTCATAATGACATAGGCAAGCAAATAGTAACAATCAGAAGGAAAGAAAGATTAAAAAATTTATATCTAATGTGGGTAGATTGTTAACTTTAGAGGAAAGTATAGGAGGGCAAAAAAAGAGTCAACAAAAATATAAAGGCCAATGATCAAATATTAGGTATTCTGTATTAAACATTGTTGTTTCATATCATATTTTTCCAATGTGATGTTAAACATCAGATATATCAGCCCATTCCCCTGTCTGATACCAATTATTGCAATGCTCAACAAGAAACATTTCATTCTGAACATACATATGGACTCTACTACATACATGGACTCCACCATGGTCAATGCAACCAAACAGAGCAGTTTCTAATCACTAATCGGGGACATTAGTCCTCTCATTGCTTGATACAGAAGTTAACACAATACAATATCATAGACAACCCTG